GAGATGAGGTCTCGCTGCCCAGGCGGGTCTCGAACCCGCGGGCTCAGGCAATTCACTCACCTCAGCCTCCCAAAGGCGCGGGATTACAGGCTGAGCCACCGAGCCCGGCTATGAGTTAGTGTTTTACGGGCGCTGGGTTTCAGCTTGGGAAGATGAAAACACTCTGGAGGTGGACAGTGGCCATGGTTGCGCACCAGTGTGAAAGTACTTAATGCCACAGAACTGTACACTCTAAGATGGTTAAAACGATAACTTGTGTATATTAAAAAAAATTTTTTTTTTTATATTGGAGTCTTACTTTGTTACCCAGGCTGAAGTATAGTGGCACAATCACAGCTCACTGTGGCCTTGGCCTTCTGAACATTTCTGCCTCAGCCTTCCCAGTACTTGGGACTACAGGCGTGCACCACCATACCTGGCTAATTTTAAAATTTTTTTGTAGAGACAGGATCTCACTATGTTGCCTAAGCTGGTATTGAACTCCTGGGCTCAAGAAATCCTCCCACGTCAGCCTACCAAAGTGCTGGGATTACAGGTGTGAGCCACCGCACCTGGCCCAAACTTTGCTTTACGGCATTAGAAATGGTTAATTTATGGTCAAGAGTTCTTAGTTCATAGGTTAGGAAAACTGAAAGCTAAATGTTGACAGTGGAAAACGAAGACAGTATATTGGCATGGGAAGAGATTGTCTTTGTGTGCAGTGATGACCTTTGCATCTACCTTCTGTAAAGCCTAAAGGATACCTTGGTCTAGGTGATTTCTCCCCTTTTTCTTGTTGCCCCTAGACATTGTTTGGCCAATGCTCAGATGAGAATCAGAAGGCTGCACAGGAGAGCAGAAAAAGGCCTGGGAACTTGGCTTTTTAAATTAATTTTATTTCTCTAAGAGTTTTCTTACAAAGAGAATTGATCTTGCACAATTAACTTGATGTAATCTTAAGAAAATAGATGAAGTATGCTTTAGAAAAAAATCATACAAGCTCTCTCCAGCCATCTCATTTGGCAATCATTTTCCTCAGCCTTTGTCCTTTTTGGGAAGGGGTGGCGGGGTTATTTTTACATGTGAATGATTATTTCTACATACAAAAGACCCAAACTCTTGCTGACTTCCCTCTGCAACACCAGCTGGTATCGGGAGACACAGCTGGGAGGAGCACCAGTCTCTTTCCAGGATTTTGGGCCGCCAAACCCTTTGGCCATCCGTCCCCAGGACACCCCTGGAAGACCTGGCCTAGGCATGAACAGTCCTCACACATGAGCCTAGCGGTTCCTCTCTCAATAATAGCATCTGTGGAGGGGCCCAAGTGCATTCCGTGGAGGAAAAGGGATTGCCTTCTCAGCTCTGTCTGCAGTCACAGGACACCGGAGAGCCTTCCACCCCAGGGTCCCACATCTCTAGGCCCTCTCCCAAGCAGCCCTCAACAATCTGCCCATCCCAGAAGGCAGGGGCCACGTTCCCGCCCTCGACTCAGCACTGGAAGCATCTGGGGATTGAGAAGGAACAGCCGCTCCTCTTCTCAGCAGCCTGGCTGTAGCCCCGTATTGATTTTTTTACAAATACATTTATCATTTTTAAAACAGAGATGAGGCCTCGCTATGCTGTCTCCAACTCCTGGGCTCAAGCAATCCTCTCGCCTTGGCCTCCCAAAGTGCTGGGATTACATATGTGAGCCTCCACACCTAGGCCTGGAATTGATTTTGAAGCAGCAGGAGCTGTCCTGGGTCCATTCTCATCCACTCAGTCGAGGTGGACAGGCCTTGTGGGGACACGGAGCCCAACACCAGGCTGTTTATCTGACTAGCTTCTCCCAGTCGATGCTCAGACACTTCACAGCCAACACATATGGCGACGGGGATGGATTTCCATCTTGCAGCAGCTGAAGTGCTCTCCTTAACCTTCCTCACATGGATTTTCCGTGGGATTTGGGGGCAATAAAGGGCCCCGAAGCCTCAGAAGGAGAGCCCAAAGAGGAGAGGTGGGCCAGGGTGTGTGTCTCGGTCATTTCCTTTCTTTTGGAACATTTGCTTTTGTGAGTCGCCAGCTGGTTCCACGGGAGCTCCTCTCCCAGCAGGCCAGGTGGTGTCCAGACCTGGAGGAGGCCTGACTGACGCCGGAGGAAGGTCATGGGAGGGGGCGTGGGTGGCAGCCAAGAGACCCTGGGCAGCAGTGTCCCTGGAGCTGTTTCCAGACTCGCCCGGTCTGGCAGGACTGTTGTGGGAGTCTGTGAGAGTGTGGGAAGCAAAGGCCCAGGGAAGGGGCTGCTGAGATAGAGGAATGCTGGACAGAACTTTCCAGAAACTCTGAGACTCCCGAAACGCAGGGCAGCTTCATATCCAAGGTGTGAAGAGGCTGCTTTGGGGTGGGCGGGAAGAAGGTGAAGATGGGATTGGGGTAGGGGTCGTTGGGTGGAGGGCTCAGTCCTCGGTCGCAGAGAAGCTCACTCTGAACTCGGAGAGGCGGCAGAGTCCCCGTCCTCGGGGTCCTGCCCGTGGGGGGAGATGGGCTGACCCCCCTTCACGCGCTTCCACTTCATCCTTCGGTTCTGGAACCACACCTTGACCTGAGGGAGGAAGCAAGGGAGCCTGGTCAGTCCGGGTCGGTGTGACCCCCACCCGTGCGGATGCACATGCTGTCCAGGGTACAGCTCTGGGGACCCCAACTTGAGGCCCACTGGCCGCTCCCCTCTCCCAAAGGCCTCAGGAGCTGAGGCCAAAGGGAGGACACACCAGTTTGCCCAGAGGTCTGTCTTGTGTGTGTCTGTCTTGCTCTCCACCTAAAGCCCCAGACAGACACAGGTACAGGTGCTAAGAGGTGCTCTGCATTGGGCCTGCCTCTTGTGCCGCGCCTCTCCTGGACCAACCCCCTCCTTCCAGCCTCTGTTCCCCAAAGGTCTGGGAGCAGAGGGCCATCAGCCTCCCAGTCAGGCACGTTGATAAAGCGCTTTTTGGTTGAGCGAGCTCTGGCCAGCGCATTGTCTCATCTCAGTTTCACAGTTGCCCGCAGGCTGGAATTATGACCCTATTTTCCGGGTGGAGACCCAAAGGTCCCAGGGCTGGGGAGTGGTAGAGGCAGGATTTGAATCCAAGTCTTTTGGCTCGAAATCCAGCACTCTGGCAGAGTGCTCTATCAACTGAAAGCTGCTATCAAGTATTATGATTACGACTATTACTCCACATCAGAGCACGGCTGTGTGTGTGTGTGTGTGTGTGTGTGTGGTGGTGGCGGCGGGGG